CCCAACAACCACCCCATACCCCCCCCATCCCCAAAAAATACTCCGCAATTGCATCAAAGGACCAGAGTTGTTTGAATACAAGTACAAGCCCGACACATGTGGACAAACAGCCCACAACCGCTAGTAAACAGGTCATGAGCTGGAATCATGATGGAATGCAACAATGTTAGGGTCTACCCCTGTTTTAGGAAACAGCAAGGCCAAAAGTAAAAAGTACATACGTATCCCTATCTCGGGGGCAAGTTCTCTTGGGTTCTCCTTTTTTTAGGGAGTGGGGAGGGTGGGAGAGGGGAAGAGGGCGGGGAGCTGCCGCCCAGCCTACACCCAAAAAAGTGCCCCTAAGCGTGTACCACCTGGCTTAGAAAGTTGATTGTATCATAAATCAAACTACGGGAATATAATAGGGTAACATATCCTGGTAAACCAGGGTAGGCATCAAAAGCGGTGGTGGTTTAGACCCCGGCGAGATCTCTGCATGATTAAGTTGCAAGAGGAGGATCACGAAACACCAAGCACGCAACTCACCAACAGACAGCATAAACTTGTACATATCACATAGGCCATAACCACAAGTGCACACGATGAAATCTATACATAGAACTTAAATTACATAACCACACGCACACGTGCAAACAATGTAATCAATACGGAAGGCCATTTCGCCTTCTGTCACAAAAACGAGGGTTATAGTCATACCTGTCTGTTGTAGATCTTCTCCTCCATAGTTCCGCATGCCAACAGTCGATAGACAAAGACAGGTTTATGCTGGCCATACCTGCCCAGATCGGTTTTGGAAACGACAGACACAAACCGTCACACACCAGAACATGAACGCATAAGAGACAAAGAACCGAAACGCTGGTTTCTCTGACTTCTACTTCTTTTTGTTGTTCGGTGGGTTGTCTCTTCAGAATATGGGTGGGAATTTACTCTTTAGGGCCTTTTAGGCACAATTTCAGTGTCAGTTCCCTAACTTCCCTTCCAAAATGGTTTGGAAATTTTGATTGCGATTCCATTTGCCGATAGTCTGTCTGCTGACGCAATGCTGATCGGGCAACCAGGCACAATGACAAACAGTCATTCGAGACCCGCATATGGGATCCAACGTCCGAGACTCAAACAAAACATATAAAAAAAGAATTATTCTAAAATTCTAAATGCTAAGCAATTATTTGAGCAACACCAGGGTTACCAGCGTTCGGCCCAGTCCGAACAAGACGGGTGGTATGGCCGAACGTTCGTCCCCCTTGGAAATGCGCTCGGCCGAACCCGAATGAAAAAAATAAAATAAAAAAAAATCGAAAAAATCCGAAGAAAAACTATGTTATGCAGAAAAATAAACTGAGCAACTTTTGCCTGACGGTCACATCGAAATTCTTTACCGAATCAAAAAAAAAAAGACTAAATTTGAAATGTTTTTTCAATTTTTTTGCCCTGTCTGGCAAGTGGCTCCAGGCCACTGTCGTAGCCTAGAAAATGGCGCTTTTGTGTCCCTCCCCCCTTTCTCTCTTTGTGTCCCCTCTCTCTCTCTCTCTCACACACACACACACACACACACACACACACACACACACGCACACACACACACACACACACACACACACATTCTGTCTATCTACATACTTCGAACACTTCCCCTCTTTCTCTTTCCCCCTCTTTCTTTCTAACACACTCTCTATTTCTTCCCCCCACCTCTTCTCTCTCTCTCACTCTCTCACACACGCACACACACAAGGAAAAAGAAAGGAAAACGTGAAAATGGTAAGAAAAGGCAAAATGGTGAATGGACGAGCACATTTTTGACACCGACATCTTTGTGAAACGGTTTTCACCTCTGTGCAGTAGCAGACGCAGATCCCAGGGTTCGATCCCTAGACCTTGCCCTATCTGTGTACAGTACCTGTGTAGACCCCGAGATTTGAACCTGTGACCTGTGTATTCGTAAACAGTTGGTAGGCTGTCATAGGTCCGTAGGTGGTAGGGGTTTGATCTGTAGATCTGTAGAATAGAAGTCTTAGCAAGTTCCATAAGTCTTAGCTGTATTCCTTCTAGAAGGTCGGCCAGTGGGCAAGTGGTCAAGTGGTGGACTAAACTGCAGTGCAATTGCAGTACGATCTCGGTAGGTTAGCAGTGAGTCCCCACTCAGTCAGCGGTAAGGTCCAGTCAGTCCCAGTTCGGTCCAGCAAGTACCACAAGGGACTGTGAGCACCATGGGCCGATGGAAGAGGGCAGACCAACGAGTTTCAGAAGTATAAATCAAGAGGCAGCGCCCAGCCTTTCATTCATTCCCGTGTGAGCCATGCGGAAGCGCTGCCACAGCGACTTGTGCAAGGAGGTCTGCAGAGAGCCCGGAGCTGAAGTGGGCAAGAGATAAGGAGCGTAGCATAGCGATAGGGTAGAGGCAGCCATAGCTGCCATAGTGAAGTGTGTGTGTGTGTATGTGTGAGTGTTCAGAGTGACGCATGTGGGATATTCAGGGTGATCCGGTGTATGTGAACAGTGAGTTGTGTGGGCGCTGAGTCGCCATAACCAGTTGGAAGTGAACTCGTATCTGGATGCTATATCTCTGAGTTTTGAGTGGGCGCATGTCGCCAGTTTGCTGCGCTACTGTTTACATGCATGAAAAGTGTGCATGAGAACGAGTCTGATTGCATTTGGCTGGACCACATACCTTGAAAATTTATAGGCATGTAGCTTACATCATAAAGAAAGCCACGCACACAAAAAAAAGTAAAATGATACTAAAATCTTATAGACCCTGAAATAACTTTTGGCGGGAGCTGAACTTCGGGATTTTGGCCCCCCCACGTCCGGCCAGGCCCTCAAACATTTGGGGGGCCGGGGGCCAAACGTTGGGAAGTTCGGCCCCCGAACCCCCCCCACACAATCGGTCAAGTAACACTGTGCAACAGAATACGCTCAATTTGTTAGAAACAGTTTGTATGTGCAACCTACATATCCGGCAAACAAACATACGGTCCTTCAGGACATCCGTTAAAATTGGAATGATACAGAGAAGATTAGCATGGCCCCTGCCAAAGGGGAACAGAAAAAAATAAAAAATGGTATAATAGTAATAATAATACCTCGTATCTGACATATAGCATATAAATAAGATAAAAAGCTTTTAAAAAGGTATACTACACTAGTCTATATAGTTCCTCTATACGACGTATAGCATATGTACACTGATAGGCAGGTGGCCAGAGATATGGTAGTCTATACGACGTCATAGCTCTCTATGTTCTTGTGGGACACTCACTCACCTCCAGGCTCGGAACATCGCTTGAAGATCGTGAGTGGGATTCCAAGACCCATCGACCAGCACAACACGATTCGCCGCCGGGAGATTGATTCCTAATGAGCCCGCCCTCGTCGAAATAAGAACCACCTTTGCATCTGTATTGTTCGGATCACCAAACTTCTCCACAAGCTTCTGCCTCGCCTGCCCAGAGGTAGACCCATCAAGCCTGCAAATTTCCAAGCGTGAACAAATTAGGGTCCAACTTCGAGACAATTCGCCACACGGGAACAACTGCCCATGTGGTAACTAAGAACAGTTGTGACATGTCCACAAGCGATGGACCAAAGCAATTAAAAAAAAATTTCAACACAGCCAAATATAAAAATAAAGGTATAAAAGGCTGGAGGGCCTATGATGGAGAAAGCATAGAATCAAAACTGTCAATCGAATCTGTCCCATTCACAGTGACACTGTGCTCACAATCTCTCACGTTCAGAGGGACACCATGCTCGCAATGAATATGAGCCGAGTCATCTTCTGGCACTATGTTATTGCTCACGAACGTGCAAACTGTAGTAACCCTACCAAGCCCACATAGGTGGTGAATGTGTAGACATGTAATTGTTATATATATAATAATAAATATATATATATCGTCACAAACAGAACTGCCCGGTAAACCGTAGGCAGAGAGAGAGAAGAGGACAACAAACGAGGGGCTGTGACAAACTGTTTCGTCGGAGTTTCACCGACTCATCAGGTAAAAGAAGCTGTAATAGTATGCTGTAAAAATAATAATAATAATGATAATG